CCCCCCCCCCAATTTGGTACGAGTTTTCATCGAAGTTGCCTCGCCTCTTCTAGCCTTTGACGAACCGAAAATTTAACCGTGAGGCAGCGGTAACATTGACGGTCATTTTCCATCAAGGTAGGTGGCTTTCGTCTCCTCAACATCAGACTATCGTTCCGCACGGCGGCAATTTTTTCTTTTAGGATACCTGGTAGTCTTATCGCTGCTTTTGCAGACTGCTTATTTTTCACGACTAAACTCAATACCTGGAGGTCATTCACCTATACGCAACTGGGGCACGCACCAGATTGCCAGCAGCTAGGCACGCTTGGGCGGTCATGTGTAGTCTTGAAATGCCATAACGCTGGTTTCAGTAGTTTTGAACACAGCTATGTATTAAGTTTCTGTTGAGTACACAGGTGCAACCGGATCCGATTGATCGCGGAACCGATCAGATTATCTCTAAAGCTCAGAAACAAGTGCCATGCACGGTTCGAAAAACCGGCCTTGAAGGGTTGTATTTGTGGAGTTCATCATTTTGAGACGTTTCCATGAAAATAGCATCTATGAATTGTGATTTCCAATAGGAGTATTGGCAATATTTAAACATTTTTATTATAAGGCATCAGCTACTGCATCGTAGAAGGAAATGTTCATCATATTTTCTCTTTTTCCGAAAACAGATCTGTCACTACGTTATTCCTCCATGTTGCATGCTGGTCTCCTTATCGAAGTCTGCTGTGTTTCGGTTTCCACACGACTGGCTAAGGCACATGATGTACGCCCAGTCAGATTCTCTAACAGGGCCAACTTCGTTTTTTTAATCTCCACACTCGCTGGGGTCGTTTGTGCCTAGAAGTGAATAGACTTATTCCTTACGTGGCCCTGTCATTTAACCCTCATACGTCGAAGCCAGTGCTGCTGTACACAGTTGAAATGTTGTTCTTACTCCTTAGAACAATTGCCTCCATGCCGTAGAACACCTCAGACCTTACAGAGGCAAGGTACAAGCGAATTTTCGTGGAGCACTAATTTCTCAACCCAAATGTTGTACAGGTTTACGAAAGCATTCGAGGCTAGGGCGATCCTCCTTTTATTTGTGATTGGATGGTACTATGCTGGAGCCTAGATACTTAAGTATTTCAGCCAAAACGAGAATGAAAATACCTTGAAACTTTTTCCCTGATAGAAATTTTCGTTGGACGATACAAACTTCGAAAGCTTTATTGAGACAGGTCTCTTAGTGGTGAGGAACTTGAATTGTGCAGCAGCGACCGTTGCCTAATATAGGCTTGGAATGTCGTCTGAGATCAGATGTTCGAACACCACAAATCTGCGCTATACAGCGATTCGGGATTTGTTGACGTTTGACGGTGGCGACGATGAGCATCGTAACAATAACGCACTGCTTTACCGCGAGGCTGACGCGAGGGCGTCGGAAAGATGACGTGTAACTGCTTTTAAGTGGACCTCGGCTCCGTGGCGTTGGGACGGTATATATTTATATATAGCTGAAGGGTATTAGATGGCGACTGCACGTTTTTGGCCGGCCCAACACAGCGATATACGGATTTGCTTCGTTGCATCGCATGAACGATATTGATATGGAGCCGGCGCCTACTTAACGAATATCAGGCCGCTAGAAGCGAAGGGGCGATGCAATTACATGTCTGTGCGAATGCGAACAAGCGAACTCGCACATGTTGCGCTGGCCTGCAGTATGAGAAACTAGCTTTCGATAGTACATAAAAATAATCTTGGATATTTTCGTTTGATATTTTTGCTATCACCCGTTAACTCAATTTTCTGTAGTGTTTGATTCAGTGCTTATCGCTGACCAGTTATGATAAACTAGCGAATGTCCTCGTTACTCGTTTGTTTTTCCTCATCCGTTACGTTCAATAACGAATCTTGCAGATTCGTATCAGTTCATTTGTTGTTCAGTCGATGCAAGATTTCAGACTCGACCAGCCACGTTCTGTTGAAGCCTTCATCATGTGATCAATCTATGATTGGACATAGCGTCACCAGCCGACCACACGATCCGTTTCCATTTCCTATTGACGAGGACCTTTTGGACGTGCATTATCCGTTGTCGGTTGTTTTGGAACTGGACGAAGGCGACAATCGATATAGCAGCGGTTTTGAATCAGATAGTTACGAATATGAATCGTTGCCTTCCTGTTCACGAGACTTAGCCAGATCAAATAGTGTTGTTTCGAGCAGCGCATGCGAAAACTAGATGTTTTGCGTTGGTTCCAACTGGCTGTGGAACTTCTGACGATTGCAGTTGGAAATGCATGCCGTTAAATCGTCGTATCGATGATGTCTGTAATAGCGCCACAGGCTTGCTGATCAGCCGACGATGAACAACAGTCTGAACAGCGATGATGAGTCTGGCAGCTCTCACTTGACAGAGGCTGATGAGGACAAAGACAACGAATCCGAAAGTCAGGAAAGTAGCAATGATAGAGCTTGCTATTCTGCTGGCCACAGCCGACCGTCGATCGTCGAAGAACCGTGGTGTTGCCCGTTATGTCAGTTCAGGACCACCGGCGTTAAAAAGCTACGAAGACATGTGTTGCAGGTAGGTAGGTCGCTTTTGTTGCTCGCACTTGCGCTCTAGTTTCCGCTTTCGTGATTTTTGATTTTGCTGCCACCACATCACGTCACCTTCTTCAGATCCCCGTTGTGCCATGCCCGACTTCTTGGTGGTTGTTTTAACTTCGTTGATAACTTGAGACTTAGTTTTCTTCTCTCGTAAGCCATGCACCATGCTCCG